ATTATTCTTTGTAATACATTATATGATAATGTGGTATTCATTATAATTATTGATTCATCCGTTCATCTGTCATTTACATTTACTATTAATAATCCACCATCTGGTCATGAAATCTATCAGATCGGATCAGCCGTTGGATTGAACAGATAATAATAACAAAACATTATCATATATATATATTATAGCAATAGCAATAATTTTATAATAATCCATAAATTTAGTTTAATGTGTAAAGCTCGGAACCCTTCGTTTCGGGACCAATTTTTCTCTGCTTATTAATAAAATATGTAAACAAAAAGCAGTAGATAAATTAAAAGGTATTATTTAAAAGCCCAAAATACTTTATATAACCTAAAATTCCAAAAGTTTAAAGGCAAAGTAAAGAAGGACGATTTTTACAATTTTTGATTAGTTAGTTTTCTGCAAATTGAATTTAAAACTACACAATTTACTATTTTCATTCTCAGCACGCAAGGCCCGTCCACTTGGCGGTTTTGACCATTTCATTTTTAAACTCAAAAAAAAAACGCGACGCGTTCGAGCAATAAATTTGTGCATTTCAAAGACGAAGTGCAAAAAACGCGGTGTAAAAAAAGATTATCAATTATAGTTGCCAAAATTGATAGTTTGACCTTTGTTTTTGGAAAATTTATGACGATCAAAACGAATTTTTTTGTAAAGCCATCCACCAATAATAATAAGGTTTCTATTCGAACAAGGTTTATTCGAATTATTATTATATTATTTTTATTCGTTATGAATTTGAGCATTCAAATTACATTGAAAGTTTATTCGAATAAAACTAATGATTCGAATAAAATGAATGATTTGAATAAAATGGATAATTTGAATAAAACGAATGAATTCGAATAAAAAGAATAATTCGAATAAAAACGAGTGATTCGAATAAAAACAACGATTCGAATAAAAACGAATGATTCGAAAAAAAAACGAACGATTTGAATAAAACAATGATTCAAATAAAACGTATAATTCGAATAAAATGAATGATTCGAATAAAATGAATGATTCGAATAGAAACGAATGATCCAATAAAACGAATGATTCGAATAAAATGAATGATTCGAATAAAATTAATTCGAATAAAATAAGATATGCACATTGCTAATCCAATCCAATTAAAATTTTTTTTTCTTTATCAATCTATTTTTCCTTCGTAGTCCTTGTATATTAGTATGATAATACATAATAGTAACAGAAGTAATTGGCAATTTTTTTCTTTTCTTTTCTTAAATCATAGTACTACCAACCATAATAGTAGTAATATAGATTATAAGTATATATAATATTGAAGGAAATAAGACCTTATTTATAATTTTCAAAATTCTAACAATAACAATAATAAAATAGAATTTGTTGCATCAAGCTGTGAATTAACATTTTATATTTTATAAATGAATAAAACGAGTAATTCGAATAAAACGAATAAAATGAATAAAACGAATCATTCGAATATAAAGAATAAAACGAATATACGAATAATTCGAATATAACGAATAATCGGATAAAATGAATTAATATTTAATATTAAGATCAAGTTGTATTACGAATAAGAATTTGTATTACGAGTAGTAACTACCAATCTAAGTATGATCGATTTTTGTGTGGATATCCGAATTGATCATCCACGAATCGCATCAGTTCACTACTGTGCTATCCCAGGGTCATTCTTAAATTCATTCTGCCAGAAACATCCTTAAAATTTTCCTTGAGTTGGCTACCAATTAAAGAAGGTCAGGGTGTTTCGCTCAAAAACATAAATAGCTGCTGTTATTGGTTTTGCTGATAGTAGTTTTAGTGTAACCTTGTTATAAATATCAAACTCTCTCCAAACTTTCTCTAACCTTCTTTCTTCTCTCTCTCTCTTTTCAAATTCATCTGTTAAAAAAAACCAATTTTTGTACTAAAAAATGAGTAATACTTCTAGAGTTGAAACTTTAACTCGAAATTGGTGTGTTTATATTCTTTACAATACCAATAGAACAAAAGTACATGTTGGAAGTACTTATGACCTTAAGGTAATAATAACAATGATATCACAAATAGAATGATAAATCTTATTTTGATAAAATTACTAGAGATTAAATATATATATTATTTATAATTAATTAATTAATAATATCAACAAATACCTTCTAATATTAAATTTTCATCATCAATCACATCAATATTCAAAATAACAATTCCACCACCACCACATTATTACCGCCATTTTTATTATTTTTATTGTTATGTTTATTGTTATCGTTAGGACCGACTACGTAAACATAACCGTTTGGCAAGTGGTGGTATAAATTGGTCGCCTGTTTTGGCTATCACTGGGTTTCATTCGGATAGAGAAGCAACAAAATTTGAATCAAATGTTAGAATATTAGCCAAAAAAAGAGAATTTTCTGAATATGCATCATTGTATGCTGGCAGCTGTCCAGCAGTTGTTGTCAAACGTATATTAGCGATCAGATGTTTACTATGTGAATATGATTCTTGGTGGAAAGTTCCTTGTGGCAAAAAAAGACGTGAATATGTTTTACATTGGGGTACATATATGGATATAGATTCTAGACAATTAGAAGTTTTACAGAATTGTCCTTGGTCAAGAATTGATCGCGTGGTTAGACATATTAAAATGGATCCGGTGGCAAATGAATCAACTATCACTTCAAACAAGAATAAAGTCATGCCCAGATCATCTGGTTCATCCAGCTCATCAGTCTCTAAAAGAAAGAACTTTCGAAAATGATAATTGTATTTTTTAACAAATAATCAAAAGTTCAAAGAACTGGAAGATAATTTTATAATTTTATTTTAATTAAACAAACTACAGTACTTTCTTATTTTTCTTAACTTTTAGCTTTGCTTAAAACACTATATTTTTAAAAATTTACAATAATATGTTTAATTCATTAATTTGTTATCTTGCTTCTTGATCTTTTTTTTTCTTATAGAATAAAATCATAATAAAACTTTCCTGAAAAAAATTTTATAAATATCTGTGCATATACTCAATAATGACTTGTGTACAATTTGACGAAAGAAAAGTTTTTATATGATTTCTTCCCTATAATGTAAAAAATAGCGAGAAGGGAAGGCGAGATTAGATGATTCATTTATATAGATCAAAAGAACAATCTTGTTGTTAATTAGATATTGGTGATGTTTACAAACATTCAAAACATAAGAATATCTATCTATCTATATAATGTTTAAAAAATAATAAAAATTGCAGATCTATTTTTTCTATTTTAATTTTTGTAATTATGAAAACTAAGAAAACACAAACAATCAAACAAACTGATACAATTAGTCCATATTTCTCATATACGAAACCCACAGCATTGAATGACGAAGAGGAGGAAAAGAAGAAAGCTACTTTTGTGATAAGAAATTCATCACCATCATTATCATCAATTAACGGCAAGAAAAGGAAAAAACATACCGGAATGATATCAGAATTTTTCAAATCTACCAATTTCAACACCAATAACAATCATCGATTATTAGAATGGTTTTTTGATAGCGAAGATGAGGAGGAGCAAGAAAAAGAACTGTTATTAGCGTTTAATCCTTCATATGATTTAAATAAAATTGTAAAGAATTGGAAATTAATAATGGATTATGATGAATTTTCAAATTTAAAGCCCATCAATTTCACGCCAAAGTATATCCCGATGACTTCACCATATAATCTTGTTCAAGAACAACTTTATTGTGATCCTTGGAAGGTCTTTGATATAATATTAATTATTATACTAATAATAATAAATAATAATAATTATTATTATATCTAACATTAATAGCTTTTAATCGCAACAATGTTTTTGAATAAAACAAGAGGATCTCAAGCAACACCATTATTATGGAAATTTCTAGAAGAGTATCCAACACCATATAAAGCAATTAAAGCTGATGTAAATGAACTCGTAAATTTATTGAGACCATTAGGACTTCAGTATGTCTAAATGATTTTAAAGAATTATAAGATTTGTTATTAATGATTGAATCATGCTCACGTAATATCAAATATTTTCAATATAGAAATATTCGTGCTATAAGAATTATAAAATTTTCATGTTCATATTTATTAAATCCTAATTTTTCTACACCAAAAGAATTATTCGGTATGGGACAATATGCCGAAGATAGTTGGAAATTATTTTGTGGTGAGAAAGATAATGCCTGGAAAACCATCGAGCCAGAAGACAAAATCTTAAAGATGTACGTCGATTGGCGTAGAGAACAACACAATAATTAAATTTTGTAGATCTTTGACGTGTTATTTTCAAAATATATTTTTGTCACTCTTTTTTAACACGGGTTGAATCGAAAATTTTTTTTAGTTTACGATATTTTTTTAATATTTTCTTTAAAAATGTCTGGGATTTGTTTGTATAGACTTGCCGAAGAACCCGAAGAACGTAGAAACATCATCCGTTTATATGTCAAAGAATTTTTTTTTGTGTTTAGTCTTTGATTTTCATTTTGCTAAAAATTCAAGAGATTCTGTTTTTTGATAAGAGATTCTATGTCAGGCCAATGAATCCCAAAAGAAGGTGCTAGAGTTTGAAATAGTAATGGTAATAGTAGATATTGTAATTGATTTGTTATCATCATCTTTATATTAATTGATAGATATGATACTTTGTGAAAATGGGCTTTACAAGTTGATAATTTTTTTTTTCCTGAAGGTAAAATATTTATATTGTGAATAATAATTTTAACATCCGTATATATTGATTGGCAGGTACACAAAAAACTTTTAGATGCTAAAAGTCCTGATTTACTAATATCTCTTATACATATATATATATATATATTAAGCCTTTTTCTTTTTCTTTTTTTGACTTAAACAGAACAAATGCTGAATATGAAAATAAAGTAAGACAAAATCCAACATAAAAATAATTTTACTATTATTAATTATTAAGTATGAGAATAGATTACTATTATCAGGGTTGACATTGTCCAATGTCCAACAGTTATCAGTTTGACACAGGCATTGGATATGCATTAGACATGTCCAACATATTTTCCACGAGGCGCCAACCCTGATTATTAGTTAAATTTAAAATTGACAGTGTGTAACAGAAAATTTTCATGGAAAAATAGCTCATTCGATGGTTAGTACTTTTATTGAATATACATTAAAATACTTGTTGCTTTTAATTACAAGCTGATATCTTGATTATTGATCAAATTGAACTAATTAGAAATAAATCAAGAATTAGATCCCGCTTTTCAATGGCAAACCTTGAAGCTTTTAATTTCTATTCCATAATTTGATTGCCAAAGTTATTTAAAGAAATTGAGTAAATCACGTAACTTCGGCAATGATTTCATTATTATTATTATAATTATAAGCCACATCCCTACTTTATTCCGTTACTTAATTTGACATAATTCGTGTATCCCTCTTATAATATAGTTGCAAAAATTCAACTCTGCTATTTATTTTAAAAGAAATTACTCAAAAACCAATTATCAGATTTAGTTGAAAAAATAATGTAAAAAAAGTAAAACTGAAAATTTATTAGTATCAAATTGGACAATTTTTAGTAAAGTTGTAGGAGTTGTAGGGCTTTTTGTGACATCAAGAATTTTTTACTACTAAAAAATTTTTAATGCTTTCGTTTTTTCCCTCTAGAAGTATTAGAAGTATTAGTTGTTTTACTAGTAAAAGTAGCAACAACAGTAGCAGTAATAGTATTAATATTGGTATTTACAATAATAGGTGTTCAATCCATAATAACTTCATTTTTTTTTGGTGAATCTTTTTTATTTAAAATTCTTGAAATAAAGAAGCAGGATTATGAATGACAGTTGATATATTAAGATTATTATAATGTGGTTGTGATGGATTATATTGTTTTTATACTATATTATATAAATAATTATTTAATTAATAATATTGTTTAAAAAATTTTTTTTTATGATTATTACCAAAAATCAATTTACCTCATAATCCTTGCTAATCCAATCATTTAAAACAACAAGAAAATCTTGTTTTATACTTTCAATTCTTTTAGTTAAATGTTTTGGATCAATGTCCAATCCAATAAGTTTTATTCTAGGTCTAAATAAGTATCTTTTGTAGGCTTCTCGTACAAAACTATCTGGAAACATTTCAGGAGATTCCTCAAAAAGAATCGATTTCAACCATTTAACCTATTATTTAAAAATATGATTATTATTTTTGAACATTAATCAATTAAAATGAATAAATATTTGCACACTTACTACTTCATTACAAGATGTTGCATCACCTATTTCATAGAAATACACTATATATGTATATATATATATATATATATATAAATAAACTTATTATTATTATTGTCATCATATGTGAAATAATGACACTTCCAAAAGAAATTTGATTTGCTTACTGCAAATATATTTTAATAATTGGGTTTCCCATAAATAATTTGCAAACTGGGAAGTTTTCAATGACCCATTACTTAAAGAAATGTCAAGCAAATAGCTGGTTTCAATATAAGTTATTTCATCACGATTAAATTGATGAAATACTATTGCAGCAACCAACTCTATAAACATATAATATAAATATTAATATATAACATAAATAGTGATATTACAATTAATGGCGGTGGAAGAAGAATTACCTTTTCTAGAGATACAACATCTTATTATTTGTTCAAATGAAACAAGAGATTCCTCAATTTTTTCCAATCGTGTAAAAAAAAAAGTCATTGATGCAATTGCATCCAAACTAAATCTTAATTTTATTATCACATTACAAAAAAAAGATATTAATTATAATGCAAAAAAATTTACGACATTGATCATAATAAATGATTACCTCAGTGATTTCAATGGAGAGCCTTGTAAATAATAAATATTTGATAAAATAAGATCCGTTTGATATGTTGGTTGATTGTCATTTTTTGCAGATAGCTTACACCAATCAATTAATATTTCAGTTATATCATATCTTATTCTTTTGATTTTTTCATTAAGAACCTTTCTCAATTGATGTAATCTGGAGGTTTTTTTAAATTAAATGTTAAGAAAAAATGATAATTAGGAATAATTAAAATAGTTTAAAGAAACAAATATAAAAACTTATTATAAATAGTACCCTCTATCAGGCCAAATTTCTGTTGCACAACTAGTTGACATCATTAGTATTGTGAATGGTCCATATAATTGGGTGTTTAATTTCTAATAATAAATTATTTAGATTATGTGTGTGATATCAAGATAATTTTTAGTTATTGAATATTATTTTTATTTTTACCTTATATTTTTTCTGTCTTTGAGTTTCACATAAATACCCTGCCATTAAACTTCTGAAAATTTGATGAATCCATACAACTTTTTTTATTCTTACAAAAAAATCAAGAACCAATTTCTACAAAAAAGTGATAATGATGATGATTAGTTTTAACAAGTTTCTATGTTATATAATAAATTTTGATTGGTGCCCATGAAGAGAAAGAGAAACTTACATAATCATTTCCTCTGAATGTTAAAGCTTTAACAAAATTATAAAATGCTGCACGAATATTTCTTATTTCTTGAAAACTCATATCAAATATTATATCAAAATGCTTTTGAAGTTTTACACTATGATTTTCAACACATATTATATCTATAAATTATTATTTTTAATAAAATGATAATGTTGAAATAATAATTTTATCAAGTAATAATAATTATTATTATCTTTATTATTATTACCAAAGATCTATTTTTTAAATTAAAATACCTTTTGTATATTTTGAAAAAAATTTCAAAATCTGAACACATGGAATCATAATATCACAAAACAGGAATATTTGTTCATATTTTCCTGTTAATTAAATATATCAATTATATTATATAGTAATAATTTAATTTTGTAATATATTCTTAAAATCCACAACATTCATTTATAAAAAAATAAAAAAGCTAACCATTATTGATATTTTTCCTCCTTGTATTCAGATTTGATAAAAATGTTTCAAGAAAGTCCCAACAATGAGATTCAATCATAATTAATGCAATACTTTCCTAAATTTCAACAAAAAATCATGCTAGTATTGTATTAATTACAAGATATTAAATATATTAATATTTACGAGAGCTATATGATCTTAATACTTACAAGAACTTGTATGTTCATAATACCAATCCTATTTAAAATATTATTACAAGATGTTTTAATTGTATCTAAATTGTCTAGATTATTAATATTTTCATGGCTATTATTAATATCATCTTTTATCAAATGATCAATTTCTGTCCAATCATCTTTTTGTTGATTATCAAGTACCTATTTAAACATTAGAAAAATGGTCATAAATATTAACATGTTAATTGATTGATTGATAAATAAATGAAATAAGGAATGCAATTTTTTATCTAGATAACCTCAATAATTTCCATAGAATCAATGTTGTGACTATATGGTACAAATAATGAAGAAAATTCTTCTAAATTATTTTCGATTGAATATTGTATAAATTCAAATCCTAAATATAATTATTCAAGAGTGAAATATTATGTTAAAATTACATGTAGATGGACACACATATATGTATAAATGTGTTGTGCAAGTACATATATATAAATATCATACCTTCAGTTTTACAAATATAATTCCAAACATCTTCATTATTAATTTTACTAATAAGCTGTATGATAAATTCTCTTTTATTTGCACTCATATTAACACCAGGATAATTTCCAAATAATTTCTTAAATATTTCAATAATATCTTTTAAAAGTTCCTCATTAAAATAATTGCCAAGATATTGAATACATGATAAAGGTATCTGATCCAACATTTTTTCTATATTATTATATTATTAATTGTTTAGCAAATGTGCATAAAAACCCTATATATAATATTTAAAATATTACCATCTAAATCTAAAGCATTGCAGATTGCTATTTTAATTGCAGAATGTTCCTGTTGTAAATTCATAGCCTCATTCACTAAATTGTTTCTAAGACTATAAGAAAGTTCTTCATGTGAATGAGTATCTAATTTCTTTTTATCTAATAGTAATCTAAACAATAAAATATACACCCCTTCGTAATCTTGGTTTTGTTGAAAGTACAATATTTTATTTAATGTATTGAACTTTATTTTTACTTCTTTAAGTGATGTAACTAATGGTAAAATCTTTGGCTGATTTATTGTGCTAATAAACAATAAAAAGATAGATAACATTATATATAAATATTACCTAGCAATTCTCATATTATTATAATGATTGTAAAAAGTAAAAATTTACCAAAAAGACTGATGGTCTATCATTGATTCATCACTTTCTAATAGACACCTACATAAAAAATCTATTGCTAAATGTTTATCAACAGCAAAATAATATTCGCCTAATTCATAGGCTAATTGATTACAAAATAAACGGTCAACAGAATTTGTTGTTGAATTTGACTTAATGTAATTTATAAATAATAAATGAATTAATAAATGGAATGAATAATAACAAAAAGATAATGTATATAATCAACAAAAAAAGATGAAATATACCATAAGTTGCTCAGTCATTTTTACATATAATTCATTTAAGAGTTCTGCTGATTTCTTATTTTGATCTAAATTTATTTCAAATTCAATATTATTTGAACTTGACCTTATTATCCAACGATGATATAAAATAATTGGATTGTTTTGTGGATCATTCCCAAAGAAGTCTCTAAATATAAAACACATTTATAATATCACATATAATATTAATCATAAATATTATTAAACACATATTAACCTACCGTCCATAACTCAATAAGCTTCGAAAAAGAACTGGTTGAACATTTATTGGTGTGTTGGATTCAATAATTTGTAGTGACAATTGAGTTTTTAGTATCACCTGGTATAACAATCTTTCATAATTTACTACTTATTTACTTATATCTATTTGGATAACAAATAATAGAGAAATATACACACCTTGCAAGCAGCTTGAACTAGTTGGAATTGATGTGTAGACAATGAAAAAAAAAAACAATCATCAATGCTTTCACATGTAATATTTTTTGGAAAATCATCTTTTTTAAGTAATGTTTTTAACAGTATTACGCCTTCTTTGCTTTGTGATTGATTTATGGAGTTAAGCTAATTTATAAAAAAAAAAAATGAGAGAAGGATAAGAAGAAATAACACTTTAATTCTATAGAAGGCAATAATAATATTATTATTATGACTTACATATAAATCAAGCTTTTTCAGGTCTGCACACCATTCAAAAATTATTTGATTTGAAGGAATAGATGACATGATTGACAAATTTTAAAACAGATGACGACCCAAATAAATACTTATTTCAAAATCCACCAACCAATCAAATTGAATGTTGTGCAAGGGTATTTTCCCAAATTTGGTAGGAAATTTAATTGGGATTTATAAGTAATTGAACATCACATAAATTGTTGCACAATTATTTATACCGTTGCCTAATTGACAATTAAAGTGGTTACATGTACTGTACATTAATTAAACTTTACAGTATCGTTTATTTTAACCTGTTTTCCATTGATCCAGCCTGACCCACTGCCTGCCAAAATTTTTTAAATTAATTATATAAAAATGGGACTTGCATAGTTTGTGAACAAGCAAAAGCAGGTGAACAGTTACAATAGAAGGAAAAAGAAAAGAGGGTATTTGGACTTGAGGTTGGTGTTTTAATTTATTCTGATTGCTGCAGTTTAAAAATCAAATATGACAGAGGGACAGGACAACACATCCAAAATATCCAAAAGGAAACATAAATATTACTAAGAACTGCATCTTCTGTGGAAGAATTATAGGACAAACATCAGAATTCAAAAGAGAATTATAATCTGTTTGTTATCAGACCATTTTCAAAAGAAATTACAGGTAAATGATTATAATTAATAATAATATATTAATATAAAGAAAAAAAAATACTAATCTTATATTTTATTTTAGATATTTTTAAATTTACCAAATTTTTAAAATTAAAAGATTAACTAACCATTGTTCTTTATAATTAACAGCAATATGAACAAAAAGACCCAATCAATGATCCCAATGGATTTGTTTGAATGATTAAAGGAAAGGATACTGAATTAAAAGGGGTTTTTGATATGTTTTATGAAAGTATGAATTCTTTATTAAAAAATACAAGAGATAGTTTAAGAAGGAAAGTTAATGGTTCTTTGTTATCAAATGACTGGTCCAAGAAACAAACGTGTGAACTCAACAAAAAAGGAAATTGCTTTATAAATATTTTATCAAATTTGGGATTCACAACTACTTTTAAAAGTGTAACAAGAGAAAAAGCAAAAATTGTAAAAGACTACGAAAAGAATATTTAAGTCAGTGTTGTGGAATTTCGCTGTACAAGAAGAATCTTTGTACGTACGATGTGCGACTGTACTTCGTACAATTGAGTTCGTACAGTTTTGTTGTGGTCGTACACCTGTACGAGGAAATTTTACATATTTACGTACGTATGATGTATCAGGAACAATGATCTTCCGCGGTGATAAAATATTACTTTATAAAGTCCTATAATAATATTATTATTATTGTTATTAAGCTGTTAACCCTAGGGTTGTTAAATGGAGCATAATGTACTGGCATCAACCCGGGTTATGTATCACTCCATCATGGAGTGGGTTAAGATTTCTAATTTTTTGTACTAACCCGGAGCAAAATATTTTATTATAACCCGGGTTGCTCCAAATTATTTTAGTAATTTGATTATTAATCATAATAAAATAATAATTTGTTAATTTTGATTGCGAATTTTATTATGAATAAAAAACTGAAATTTATGAAAATTTATATGAAATACTTTCAGATAGTGAGCCTGAACCATCAGTGAATCATTATTAAATATAAATAGAGAAGAAAGTGAGATTAATTTAATTTTTAGTCAAGAAGATAATGAAAGTTTAATTACTACTCCTACAACCATAACTACTACAAGTACAGCTACTACAAGTACAGTTACCACAAGTACAACTAATACTATAGAAGAAAATGAATCTAATTCATCAAACACTTCACGCGAAACTTCTTGGGTTTGGGATTTTTTTTCAATAGAATATAATGATAACCAAGAATTTATTACATATATTTGTAATGTAAAAATTGGTATAATTTTTTTTTACTTTAAACGAGAATTATAATTATAATTATTACTCCATGGAGAAACCCATGGAGTATTTACATTTAACCCGGGTTGGGTTAGGTTAACCCTTGCTTCACTATAATATAAACCCAACCCAACCCATTATGTTCCATTAACAACCCTAGATAACAGCAAAATTCGGAAAATTTTGCTGCCAACTTATCAACCCGGATGTGGGGGATAAGAGAACTATCTCCCGGTCATACAATAACATATGACCGTAGATTATCATTCTGGTCTTATTCATCTCAGGGATGATATTAAATCCCGATAGGTGATGATAAACCTGAATGATAACTTCATTACACGATATGTGACCAGGTGATAACATCAGGAAATTTTTTCTGGTACGGATTTATGTAAATATTACACTATTTACGTAAGTTTACGGCAGGTCCTGTAATATTATGAAATAAACATACAAAAATTATGCAATTATTACATTGAGTGTAAATATATGGGGCATGGACAATAGAAAAGGGCATAACTACCAAAATTGTGATTTTGAGTTAACAACATTCCTATGCGTAATTTACTACAAAGATTAATTTTAGCTTAGAAACCATACCCACTTTGCTTAATAAAATTTCGAGATAATTAAAGAAAACTGCAAGACGTACAAGAACCAACAAATTGGTATTATACTAAAACAAGTAATGATAAACCTAAATCCGGAATTTAGTTTAAATCATGTAACACGAATTTATTAATTTTTTTTTGTTATTATTATTATTATTTTTATTAAACGGAAAATAAAAACAAATAAAATTTTATCATCTAAAATTCACTTTTTCACAACACAAACAATTGAATCTGATATTTAAAAAATGACTTCTACACATTTATTTTTTAACAATATTTTTACTGAGACACATCCTAATTTAATTGACTTAGAAGAATCTTTTGCTAATTTGAAAACAAGTTATATGCCTAATTTGATTATTAACAAAAATGAAGAAATAGTTGATGAAACAGAGATAAGTCATGATGAAGAAGAAGACAGTTGTGAAGCAGAAGAAAGTGATTATGAAATGGAAATGTTGTCTAAAGAACAATTAGAAAAATTCAAAAATATATACAATAAAAATAAAATAATGGATGACCAAATTATTGACTCTGAAGAGCAAATAGAAATAGATCATGATATCAATCATTATGTAGCAAATTTGCTAGAAAGAGATTGTTGTCAAAAAGAATGTTTGAAAATGAATTTAAATTTTAATGATGTTAAAACTAGATATAAATGTTTTCTTGATCTTAAAAAAACTGAACAAGATATTTTTTTAAAAGGTTTTCTTTCTGCTAGTTTGAGAAATGAAATAACTACTAGAGGAGAAAAAAGGAGAAGATTGGCAAATGTCTGTTCTTTTGGAGGAGTTGAAATTTGTCTGACTGCATTCATGGGTATCTATGGTATAGGTAAAAGAAGATGGGGAAATGTTAGAAATCATTTTAATGAGTTTGATATACAGCCAAGAACACATTCTTTAACAGGAAAAGTAGGTAATAAAGCAGTATCATTTGATGGGGTTTTGCAGATTATTAAATTTATATTAAATTATTCTAATACAAATGGACTCCCATCTCCAGGTAAATATAAATTATTTAAATTTGAAAAAGAAAAGTTTATAAATAATTAATTAATGTAAAATTTATTATAGGAAGAAAATTTAAAAAAGACACAAAGCCTATTATATTTCTCCCAGCAGATGAAAATCACACTACTGTATTTAAATATTTTATTGATGCAGTTGAAGAAAATTCTGAAATATATGTCTCAAATAGAACATTTCGAAGAATATGGCATACATATCTTCCAGAAATTAAATTTCTTACTCCAAGAAGTGATTTATGTCATATTTGCAAAGAACATAGGTTCAATGCAAATTGTTGGATGGAAGAAGAAAAGGAAATGAAGGTTAGAGAAATGGAATGATCATATTACATGGGCAATGAAGGAACGTGAATATTATAGGTATCAATCATGGTATATTTTTTTTCTTTTTTTTTTTGTTAAAGATTTTTGCTAAATTTATATGTTGATTTTTTAGAGATTGCATAAAAAATGCAAAGGAAGCATTTGAAAATTTAAATCAAGATTCAAATCCCACTAGATCTACAAATTCACTTAATATTAAACTTCACATTTCATGGGATTTTGCAGAACAAGTTCATATCCCATATTCTTCACAACAAGTGGTATGCAATATTATTTTTATTTATATATAATTTTTTCAAAGGTAATTGATTTTAAATTGTGCTATTATTATTATAAATAATAGTCAAGTTCATATTTTAAATCTTTATATAAAGTTCAAGTATTTGGCATTTGTGAAGATTTTAGACCCAGACAGGTGAAATAATAATTCTTTTAATCAACTCTTTAAATTACAGTATATAATAACTATAATTATCATTTATTTAGATTAATTATCTTATAGAAGAATCACAGTATATTGGTAAAGGAGCTGATGCTGTGATTTCTTTAGTTCATAATTATTTTGAACAACATAGTCTTGATGAAGAAGAAATAATAATTCATGCAGATAATTGTTCTGGTCAAAATAAAAACAATGCAATGATTCAATATTTGGCCTGGAGAGTGTTAACAGGTAAACATAAAAGAATTACATATTCTTTTATGGTAGCTGGCCATACCAAATTTAGTCCTGATGGTTTTTTTAGATTGTTTAAATTGAAACTTAAAAATTCTGAAATTTATGATTTAGAGGACCTTGTTAATGTTGTAGAATCATCAACAAATGGGTACAATAATGCTCAAACAATTTATGATGAAAATGGTGAAAGAAAAGATCTTTTTCACAGCTGGACTGAATATTTAAGAAAATTTTTTAAACCATTACCAAATATCATCATTTTATTTTTAATCAAGAAGATCCAGGGATTGTATATGTTAAAAAAAATATTAATGGAGAACTTATAACTATAGACATAACTAAAAATTTTACCATGGATCCTGTTTTAGAAGAAAAACATCCTTTAGGTTTAACCCCTGAAAGACAAAAGTATATACTTGAAAATGTTATTCAATATGTTCAAAATCCTGATAAAAAGGCTTTCTATCAATCATAGATTTTAATTTTATTATTATTTATCTTATTATTATTTATTTTATTATTATTTATTTTATTTATTATTATTATTCTATATATTATTAAAATAGCCCCTATTTTTGTCATAAATTTAGAAATGATATGCAATTTCCGAGTTTTTGGGTCAAAATCTTTGTTTTTTAATTTTGATTTTACAGTTATGCCCTTTTCTATTATCCATGCCCCATATAATCTATTGGTTCTTTTTTTACTGGTTGAATGATGCCAAATTTGGTAATGGGGTATTCAGCAAATATCAGAATCTGATTATTATTTAAAAAAATAATCAAAGTATTAGCATACTGATAAGTTAATAATATTCTTAGTATTTTTATCATATAGTCTAAAAGCCTATTAGTAAATGTTGAAAGTGCCAATGTTTATCAGATATTCTTTTAAAATTAATCCTATTTTTAGTTAATTATTGGCTTAGTTTAATAAACCAATAACTCTTTTATATTGTAATTAAATTATTGGTTAAATATTTTCAAAGCTTTTTGTGCTAAAATATTATCATAATCTTGAGTAACCATTAGGTTTCTATTTGAATAAGGTTTGCTTGAATAAAACAAACAATTTGAATAAAATGAATAATAGTAATTTGAATAAAAGGAATAAAAGGAATAAAACAAATAATTAATTAATAAAATGAATAAAAGGAATAAAATGAATAATTAATTAATAAAACAAATAAAAGGAATAAAACAAATAAAACAAATAAATGTACAGTCAGAACTTGTTAAAACAATGCTTTGATAAACCAAATATACACGATAAGCCGATGTTGTTTTATTATCTACCTATCAAATTTACCTCATTAAGCTGATTTTATTAAGGTTTTTTAAATTGAAGTTTTTTTTTTTTGAAAATATTGACTTTGGTTTAATGAGTTCTGACTGTATTATGAATAGAAACCATGCATTAATACCAAAATCAAAAAACAAACAAACAAATAGTTTTTATTGCGAAATAATTAATTTTGTTCCTTTATTGAATCAATCACACAAGTAGTGGTCAATTTAAACAGCATTGTTTTTAAAGAAAATAATATTATTAAATGTATAAAGTTTAATGATTTTTAATGTTGCAAATTTTTTTGATGTCAATCTCAAAATCAATCATGTTTATATACTTTAAAGTTTCTCTATTTCTTTTTTTGATAAATAATAAATTTATCTTTGTTTATTTGCTTTAGTAGATTCAAATAGATTTTATTAAATCAAAAATGGTACACTATCAATTACACGAAAACACACTATTAAGTTAACTTATTACAAAGTCACTTTTAAAGTACAGCGAATTCTTGTTCCTTATATACATGTTT